TTTTGTCTTTTTTTAGAAATAAAGATCAGTAGAGAGAGTGTGTTCATTTATCATGAATTAATAATCTGTTAATCAATCTAAAAATAATTATAATATAATATAATGCAGATTACTTATAAAAATTAGAGCTTATAAATATAACATGTATATATATTATAACAGATTTTATAATTAAGTTCAGAGATAAGACAAATATAACAAATTGTTATTTAAAAATAAATTATGTCTTATAATATTTCTTAAAAATAATAGAGGTGGTTTTTTAATTTGGCACAAGATCAAGATGATCTTTTAAGGAGCATTACAAAATAAGTGCAATAATTTTTAAAAAGCATTTATATATATTATAAGTTAAAAAAATTTTATTAGCTTTATTATTATTTGTAGAAGTAATACAATTATAAAACTGTATTATTATATTATTCTAGACTGTTTTGAACTGTTTTGAACTATCTTTTAGAAGAAGAAATTTTATTTCTTTTATAATAAATTGATTGTAAAAAAAAAGTATATACAAACTATGACTCTTCTTATTGTTTTTATTATTTCTTAATTTTTTTTGTTTTGATATTTTTTTTTTTTTCCTTAAACAGTCATAGTAGTACTTTATTAAACCATTTGTAGCTACATATATAAATACAGAATATCATTTAACTTATAAGTCTACTATCATTCGACCACCCAAACAGTACCTAAATGCAACCTGCCATACTAATCCAGTTAGGACTAGAAATTACAACTCGTCTAACCTCTGCCCTACAATAGGATACCACCAATCTGGAAACATCTTCTCATAGGGAAGAGAAAAAAAAAAAGATTTTAAAATTAAGGAAGAAAGAAACAAAAATAGAAAGAAAAATAAAACTAATAAAAAGAAAATGAAACTAATCTATAAGGAGAATAAAAGAGGAAACCTGCTAACAAGATAAAACTTTATTCTATGATTGCTGCTCACTATTATGTTTTCATCATTTTGTGAACTATGACTATTCTTTAAAAATAAGATACTCTTAACTAAAATAAAAACTGTATTCATTTGTAGAATGAAGTTCAAGCTGAGCACTTTCTATATAAAAGAATTCTTCAAGTAAGTGAGATACTGTGCTAAGATTTGAAGTGCATTTAAGTGGTTCAATTTTTCATAAACTCCTGTAACTATTTTTTTAAAAAATATTATGCACATGACCTTGAAATATATGCATATCTCAATATATTTTTGGTCTTTCTGAATTAAATCCTTTTTCGATCTGCTCTACATAATTGACTGACTCACGTATTTGTTGTGTTCCTTATTTGCTATGTTCAAACAAGCATGTAACCACAAAAAGAAGTGATATACAATGTCAATCTTTTGATGGGGGTAAGCCAAATCCCCACTTTTCAAAGAAAGGAAAACAAAAAAAAGATGAAAAGGAGATATATTATTATTGCAAGGATCTAAGTTAAGAAGAGTTTTTTTAGTTATTTTTCTTTTTCTTCTGCTTCTAATATTCTTAACCAGAGAACTGATTTTGTCTCGATTTGCTTTCAGAATATCTTTCCAGTTTGGATGCTGAATATGTGAAGGAGTCCATTAGACAAAAAGCTTAACCCAAAACAAGAACCACTTAAGTTTCGCCTGCTTCTCAGTGTATCACATACTTGAGCTTTATCAACAGCAAGTTTACTTAATCTAAAACTAAGAATATTATTCACTTTGGAGTCAGAGTCTTCAATCTACTTTTGGTGCTAACTTGGTCTAGGTGATCATTGAAAAAAGTATAATTTATTTGTTCTGATATTTAACCTTTTCTATATAGTCTTTATTACTTTAATATTTTTTATAGTCTTTATAGAACTAATAAGAAATGTTTTAAGTTTACTATCTTAAAGCCAGAACCTATCATATTGCTTACAATTGTATCTTTCTTGACATTACCTTATATCTAACTCAAAAGAGCAGATAAAGTCAATATCTATTTTTAGTTTAAATATTGTCATATAGCTTTTGTAAAACTGAACATACATGTTTCAAATGAATTATTATAGGCATCACTAATTAGATAAATATATTATAATAATATCTATTTTACAAATTATATAAGATGTTAGTTTTACTTCTAACAATATATAACTTTTTTTAAATAATAAGAATAAAATAAATACAAATAAGTAAAACACAAGTCTAATTAAAAAAAAAAGTAATTCTAAAAATAAAAGAATAATTAATAACAAATATGATCAGTAATTCTAATAATACTAAAAAAAACAAATAAAAGTATATACAAAGGATGTTGATAAATCACACTACTGGTATTCAATACCATATTTCAATCTAACCAATTAGATCATCAATCATCTAATGATTAATTGTAAACAAAAATTCTAACTAATTACAAACTATTTATATAATTTTGAATAGTATTTTTTATAAGACAGTTTGGATTAGATTACTTATAAGACCAAAACTGCAAAAACATAACTTAATCTGAAAACCCAAGCCAAATTCAATCAATATATGTTATTTTATTTCAGGTCAAATCTAATTAAAAACTTGAAACTGACTAGGTTAAAAAAATCATAAATTCAGACCTGAACTATAACCAGTTTTGGGTCTTTAGTTCAGGTCTGTAAAACTCTAATTATAAAAAACCTCTTAGTAAAATTTCAAAATTGGATGTATGTAAACAATTAAAGAGAACTTATTTTTTTACAAAAAAAAACAGAAATAACATAAAACTTTATTAAAAAACCATTTTCTGCACCTAATTAAAAATGCTTCTTATGAAATATTACTAATAGAATCTTTATTATTCTAACCTTAACCTTCTAACCTAAATTACAAGCTACTTTATTCTTGATAAAAAATTACAATTTTTGTGGATGCATTATCTAAGTCATCCTAGAACACTGTCTGTAGATTTGTCAGCAGTCATGTAATATTTTTGTAGTACAAATGAATTAAAAAACTCAAAGATGCACTAACAGACCTAGAAAAAAGAACAGACATTAATAACTTATTCACAAATAAAAAAGTAAGAACAATGAAAAAATGAAACTATACTCTTTGAATTTATAAAACATACACTTTATAGTTTTCTTGAAAACTCAAAGATGCTCTAACAAGCCTAGAAAAAAATAAAAAAATAAAATAAATAAAAAGTGTTAGTAGCACAATCACAAGTAAAAAGCAAGAACAATAAACAAATAGAACTATACATTCCAAATTTATAAAATAACACTTCATAGTTTCCAGGAAAGCTTAAAGATGCCCTAACAAACATAGAAAAAAAAAACAAGGTTAGAAATGTATTTACAAACCAAAAAGCAAGAACAATGAAAAATAAAACCATTACTTTTCAGATTCACAAAATATACATTTTACAGTTCTCAAAAAAGTTCAAAAATGCACAATAGAAGAAAAAAGAACAAGTTGGTAACTCATTTATAAGCCAAAAAGCAAGAACAGAGAAATAAAACTATATGCTCTGAATTTATATTACAATTTTCAGAAAAGCTCAAAAGTGCCCTACAATCTAGACAAAAGAATAAATATTAGTAACTTATTCATAAGTAAAAAATAAAACAATGCTTCTGAATTCATAAAATATATACTTTATAGTTTTTAAAAAAGTTTTAAAGATGCCCTATCAAGTCTAAAAAAAAAAAAAGCATTAGTAACATATTCACAATCTGAAAAGCAAGAATAACAAAGAAATAAAACTATATATTTCAAATTCACAAGATCTAAGCTTTACAATTTCTGAAAAAGCTCAGAAACTCTATAAAAAGCCTAAAAAACAAAAAGAACAAGTGTTAGCAACATGTTTACAAGCTATAAAATAACAATGAATATCTAAATTATATATTCAAAAAAAGTTTAAAATCTCTTTGGCAATACTTAATATTAGTAAAAAAGCAAGAACAAAATAATTTAAGTTATCAAATGTATATTAAATTGAATTTTACTAACATATGATATTCATCACCAAATTTTTAAAAGTGCTATATATTGATAATAATGTCCATATTATTATCAATATATAGCACCCCTGTAGGGTATTATCGTAAGTGATTATTAATGATATATAACAAAAATATGTTAAATTTTTTCAAACTTTGATATTAATTTTCTCGATAACTACTAATCCAAATTGGTTCAAATTTTTACTGTAGATAGTATATATGTTCAACTATCTTATACTAAAATTTTAGCTAATTTAGATTAATAGCTCACGAGAAATCACTTGTAAATGATAGTTAATTTTTTACAAAAAATTAATTATCATTTACAAGTAATTTCTTGTAAACTATTAATCTAAATTAGCTAAAATTTTAGTATAAAATAGTTGAATATATATACTATCTACAGTAAAAATTTGAACTAATTTGGATTAGTAGTTATCTTGAAAATTAATATCAAAGTTTGAAAAAATTTAACGAATTTTATAAAAATCATTACTAATTGATAGTGATAATAATCATTTAATATCGTTATATATCAAAAATCATTATTTATCATTAGTGATATATATCAATATATAGCATTTAATCAATATATATCAATTAATTTTAATCAATATATATCAATTAATTTTAATCAATATATATCAATTAAATGCTATATATTAATATAAATTTGCTTAAAAATTTTGATGATGTTAACATAGTACAAATCAATAAATGAGTCTAATAAAAAACTTCAAGAAAATTGTATTTTTATATACAATGCAAAATGTAACAAAAATTAAAATATTAGAGATTGAAACTACCTAAAATTTTATTTGTCTCAGAGTAAACTTAATTTAGTTTAGTACTATAAATAAATTTTTTATATAATTAATAGATTTAATCTCTAGTTACAAAGATGCAACTTACTTAGCAATTTGAACCAAACAACCTAATCCTAATTATTATAAAAATTAAGTTTAGTACAATGCAAATTATTTTATTAATTTAAACTTATACAATTTGTCTTAGATTGTTCAAAATAAAAGCTTCTTAACAATTATAGCATTATATTAACTCTCTTTAGAACAAGTACATGCATTGTGCCTTCTTTTGTTACAAATACTACATTTTTTCTCTTTAATTTTACTAGATTTACTAACATTCAAATCTGCATCTTTTAATATTTTTTGAGGTTTTCTGATCCTATTCTCTTTGTTATCTTGATTATGCCTAGGTATCTGCTTTTTTTTTCTCTTAATATCTGCATTTACATTATTTAACCCTTTGGGCTGATCCTTTGTCTTGACACTTATAGAATTACTAATAGTAAGCACAAACTTGGCAATATTATTACTGTTTCTAGCTTGATTTACAACTTTATTTTCTATTTTGCCAATAAAGTTTTTATAAATTTTATAAAGTTCCTCTACTCTACTCATTGCAATAGTTAGATTTAAAGTTTTTTTCATAATATCAAATTCTTCTTTCTATTGTTGTTTTTAAGTTATCTCTTCATAAACCTCAGACATAAAGATGTGGATTCTCTGAAGACTCTTCAAGTGTGAAAAATCAACATTGATACAATTATTAGAATTAATCATACTAAATTTCTTATATAATATTGCTAAAACTGCTGGCTTAACAAACAGGTTAGAAGGATATGGTGACCTAGTGAAGTGGTTAGGTTGTCAACCCTTCAAGTGGTAGGTTGAGTATTCAAATCCTATCGATGATGAAAATTTGAATAATCACCTATGTAATATTTGTATTATGACAACTGTTACTAATAATTGGATTAGAATATCAGTAATAGCAGTCATACCAGTATGACTGGCAGGTCAGGAGGCATCCATGCAATGTTGAAGTTACATGGAGGAATGCAAACCAACAAATTGGACAGTGCAAACACTAGATAAGTTCTTGTGGCCATGTAAATCTATTGAAATTGGGTAACAAGAAGTCTATTTGAAAAGACCTGAGTAGAGAGATAGCTGGATCTTTAATAGCCCTACTGTAAAGGCTAGCCTGATGAAATAGATATCTAGATCTAGTACCCAGTCTTAGTAGCTGGACAGGCAAGAACCTTCAAGTTGGGAGTCTCAGAGGTACCACCAACCAGGCCATTAGAACGAACTAGAGGAAAAGAATATTAGGCCAACCTGATATACCGATGAACTGGTCATAGTTCTATATAGGTTATCTGAATTGGAAGTTTGGTAAAAGGGCAGAGGAAAAGGTAAAGGTATACTAAAGTACCAGGATTATGCTGTGAAGTAGATGCTGGGGTCTAAGTGAACTCTACAAAGATATAGCAGTTTAATGATTAGCTCTGACTGCAAGTATTGGTTCTGCTATAGTGATACCTAGGTCAGCTGTAAAAATGAGTACAAAAGGTTCTGAAGGGTTTACCTTAAGGATAAATTAGTCCTAAGGTTGAGGATGATAATCTGATGCATCTAAGATGACCAGTGATGTTAACACAGGTTACAGGTTCAGAGAATTTAAAGTGGAACATCCAAGCAGGGATGTTAGGTATAGCAATTGGTAAAGAACCTTCAGGTGAACTCCTTAAATAGGTAATATAGAAAATTTACATGTGTAGCCAATTGTATGCTCTTCTGTAGTGGTTCATTAAACCACAATACCAATAAGTGATTAATAAAAGTCAAAAGAC